TGCCCACAGCAGCCCTAGACCCAGCAGTGTCACATCTATGTGTCTTCAACTTCACCCTATCCCTCCTTGTGCACCCCCCCTGCTGCACACAGCTGGCCCTGTTCCGCCTGAGGGAGAGGGACCTGCTGGAGCGTCTAGCCACTCGGGTGAACGTGCTCGTGTCTGCCGGCCACAGCATCTCAGACGCGCTCAACCAGGTAAGCCGCTGCACATGCACTTGTTGCAACCAGCTTGCTATTGCAACTAGCTTACTCCAACCACACGCAATGCCCGTACACTCTAGTTTATCAGTTCCTGTCTGCGCGCGGTCAGGCCTCTCCCCCTGCAGTCCTACCTGCCTGCACATTCCACCTGCTGTGTCCCCGTCTAATCTACTTATGTGCCTCATCACTCACTGCGCTTCCATTCCATGCACTCCTGACCCCTCCCTCCCTCTCCTCCTCTCTCCGTGCAACAGAGCTTTCAGCTGAGTTCAGACCTGGGAAGGGCGCATGCGGAGCTAGAGGTGTTGGTGGCGGCCGCAGATGTGCTGCAGGGGCTGCAGCCTGGACCGCTCAAGGACGTGCTGACACTGCTCACCACGGTCTTTGCCATGGTCACTGTGGACGAAGACCCGGTCTTCCTCAGGTAACCCACATCATCCCACCTTCCCCCTCTTGCTACATTTGAGGTGCCTCAAAAGGACGTGCTGACACTCCTCACCACTGTCTTTGCCACGGTCACTGTGGATGAAGACCCGATCTTTCTCAGGTACGGTAACCCACACCCCACCTTCCCTCTCTCTCGGTACATTTCTTCCCAGTTCCCCACTCTTTCTCGCACCCTCTTTCTCTCTGCTCCCTCCACCACTCGTTTCCTCGATCACATCACCACCACACACTTTCCATCTCAACCCACCGCAACTCCTCAACCACTTTCCAACCGCTTTCCCCATTTCCTCCCCCTCTGGTGAAAACCAGGTACGGATATGTGAGCACAGAGCAAGGGCAGGCGATTCACGACGAGGTGGCCTTGCTGTGCAAGGAGGTGCGCCCGCATGCGCTCCCCCTCGTGCACGCCTTTGGCCTGCCCGGGCACTTGCTAGGACCCATCGCGTTTGACTGGGTGGACTTCGAGTCATGGAAGAACGTGGAGCAGGGCCGTGACAAGTGGTCGGGGCAGGTGGCACACCTGTGATGTTCTTCTACTCTCGTACCTACGTCTTACACATCACCTGCTGGACCCATCGCGTCCTGACTGTGTTATGGCAACATGTGCACTTGCCATAAGTGGTCATGGCAGCTGCTGAATCAGGGAGGGCAGTGCTGTTGAGGGTCTGTTGGGATATGTGAGGTGAGGTGGGAAGGAGTGTAGCGGGGTGCAGTGCGGATGTGGCATCTGCAGTGTGATCTGCTGTGGGATTGTTAGCTGCTGTCGTCTTGTACATGGTGAAGTATATGTTTTAGATGTTTCCAGGATCTGGCCTAAGCTTTCGGAGTGGTGCCTTTTCTGTCATGTGCTTCTATTCTTGTAGTCAGTGTGTGCTGCACTGCTCTGCTTCTTGTTTGTCTGATTTCTTATGTGGAGTAAATAATATTTTCAGTGAAGCATGCACCAAAGCCTCACTGCATCTCCACTAAACTACTTTTATAGATTGATCTGTATAGATAACCATTCTCTCCACCGAATCAAAAGGAAAATGCATCAGCCATATGCAAGGCACGGAAGGTAGATTAACAATTTTTTATATCCAAAAGAGCCACACATCTGGCACAAAAAACTGCCCATTACCGTATTTGCGAAGTGCTGACCAGAGGGGGAAAACAAAACCAGAGTGGACAGAGCCAGTGATGAGAGCAGAATGCAAAAAACTGCATCGTCATATTACCGTAATGCCCTATTTCCTCTTCCCTCTGCCTCGCCCTCTTGCAGCTTTCCCTTTACCTCCTGCTGCACCTGCTGCCTTTCCCTTCCCTCCACCCCTTCCCCTGCCAGCCGCTGCAGCTGCAGCTCCTCTCCCCTTCTTCGCCCCTGCACTACCTCCCTTCCCACCCCTCCCTTTCCTCTTTTTTGATGCACTCTCCTCCTCATCCTCTTCCTCCTCACTATCCACCTCCTCCACTTCCTCGTCCTCGTCCTCCTCCCCTCCCTCCTCATCCCCTCCCTCCTCTTCCACCACAGCCTCTTCTTTCTCCTCCTTTTTCCGTGCCCTCCCAGTGCCTGCCGCCTTGCCTTTGCCAGCAGGCTTTTGTGAGGCGGTGTCAGGCTCGGGGGTGAACAGTGGGAGCTGAAGGAAGGGACGAGGTGTGGGGGTAAAGAGGGGTATAAGGAAGTGAGATTGCTTAGTGAGACGAGAGGTCAAACACTTGTGTGAACAGTGAGATTTTATGAGAGAGGGGGTGGCAAAGGGATGAAGTGGAGGGGACTTGAGGGGAAGTGGAGGGGACTTGAGGGGAAGTGGACTGGAAGTGGGAATGTGTACTACCTGTGGAAATACGTTCTTTCAAATACATGCATTTCAAACTGTTATGAGCTGTGTTGTTGCAACACCTCACATTCACCGAACGTGACCATCACTCCACCGGGAGAACTCTCAAATTGACTCCCATCACTCGACCGTGTCCTACCCACCCTCACTCCATTTCTCCCTCCAACCATCCCTCCCACCCTCCCTCCCTCCCTTTTTCCTCCGCTCCCTGCTCTCACTCACCGCTGCTAGCAGCTTCTCGGCCTTGCTGCGCTGCTCTGCACTATCACCAGGAGCTCCTGTGCGGGATACCAGGTGCAGGAAGAATCCCACTCCGCCTGCCACCCTGCACGGATGGGCAGGCCGGGAGAGGGGTGCAGGGGGGAGCAGGGGGGGAGTTGGAGGGGAAGGGAATGCATTGTGAGGATTAGAAAGGGTGGGACGAATGGGTGGTGAAGGAGTAAGTGAGAAGACGGATAGAGGATGAATGGGCTGTAAGAACGAGAAGCATGGCAAGAATGGCTCAGAGCATGATAGGACAAAAGGGAAACGTGGGCACACTCTGGCTGGGCTGGGTGGTGCTTCTTTTCTCCATCCGAAATTTGCAGCGTTGACATGGTTCCATCTGATCCAGGAAACACAGCAGGTGCACGCAGCTGTCTTGTGTTGGCCCCATTGTGTCACGCATTGTGTGACGACTTACTGTACCGAGTGGATGCCTTCGAGTGAGTCGATCTTCTTAGGGTTGGCTGATGATCTGCCAAGAGGAGAGGAGAGGAGAGGAGAGGAGAGGAGAGGAGAGGAGAGGAGAAGAGAGGAGAGGAGAGGAGAGGAGAGGAGAGGAGAGGAGAGGAGAGGAGAGGAGAGGAGAGGAGAGGAGAGGAGAGGAGAGGAGAAGAGAGGAGAGGAGAGGAGAGGAGAGGAGAGGAGAGGAGAGGAGAGGAGAGGAGAGGAGAGGAGAGGAGAGGAGAAGAGAGGAGAGGAGAGGAGAGGAGAGGAGAGGAGAGGAGAGGAGAGGAGAGGAGAGGAGAGGAGAGGAGAGGAGAGGAGAGGAGAGGAGAGGAGAGGAGAGGAGCAGGTGAGTGGATGGGAGATTAGACGAGCAACGCAGGTTGCTGCACGGAGTACAGGGAGGGCCAGGAACCATCATGGAGATTGTCGGAGAACTTACTTTTCCGAGACGTCTCATTACCCTGGAAATCAAGGGCACAGCACGTCTCATCTCAGCACTCACTTGGAGCCTTTCGGTCCGTAGCGTAGCCCATCTCCCCATGCAATGAGAGGAGAGGCTTTCTGTGAGGCCTCACCTGGGCTGACTTTTGAGTCTTTTGAGTCTTTTGAGACTTTTGAGTCTTTTGAGACTTTTGAGACTTTTGAGACTTTTGAGTCTTTTGTGACTTTTGAGACTTTTGAGACTTTTGAGTCTTTTGAGACTTTTGAGACTTTTGAGACTTTTGAGTCTTTTGAGACTTTTGAGTCTTTTGAGACTTTTGAGTCTTTTGAGTCTTTTGAGTCTTTTGAGACTTTTGAGTCTTTTGAGTCTTTTGAGTCTTTTGAGACTTTTGAGTCTTTTGAGTCTTTTGAGTCTTTTGAGTCTTTTGAGACTTTTGAGTCTTTTGAGACTTTTGAGACTTTTGAGTCTCAAAAGAGGCTTTCTGTGAGGCCTCACCTGGGCGGGGGCCTATCAGAAAGAGTCACTTGGTGCCTTTGGGTCCGCAGCACAGCTCCCCATGCTGCGCCATCCCCTGCCCCACGAGTTCAACCCAGCTCGTCCACTGAGACAAGTACGCAGGGGCCTCGAAAATCGTCGCCGGGGCCTATCAGAAGGACTCAGCGCCTTAGGGTCCGCAGCCCAGCTGCCCATGCTGCGCCAAGCCCTGTCCCATGGGTTCCAAGACATCTGAAACATAGTCTCTTCGCACAAGTTTTGCGATGACTCAACACTCACTTGGCGCCCTTGGGTCCGTAGCCCAGCTCCCCATGCTGCGCCAAGCCCCAGGAGATGGTGGAGGCATCAGCAGCAACGCACAAGGTGGTGGCGTCTTTGGTACCCTTGGTACCCTTGGTACCCTTGGTGCCCTTGGTGCCCTTGGTGCCCTTGGTACCCTTGGTGCCCTTGGTGCCCTTGGTGCCCTTGGTGCCCTTGGTGCCCTTGGTGCCCTTGGTGCCCTTGGTGCCCTTGGTGCCCTTGGTGCCCTTGGTACCCTTGGTGCCCTTGGTGCCCTTGGTGCCCTTGGTGCCCTTGGTGCCCTTGGTGCCCTTGGTGCCCTTGGTGCCCTTGGTACCCTTGGTGCCCTTGGTGCCCTTGGTGCCCTTGGTGCCCTTGGTGCCCTTGGTGCCCTTGGTGCCCTTGGTGCCCTTGGTACCCTTGGTGCCCTTGGTGCCCTTGGTGCCCTTGGTGCCCTTGGTGCCCTTGGTGCCCTTGGTGCCCTAACCCAGCTCCAAATGCTGCTGTATGCCCCGCCCCTGCCCTACCCCACGAGTTCACCCTAGCTGCCCATGCAATGAGAGGCTTTCCATGGGGCCTCACTTGGGCGGGGCCTATCAGAAGCACTCACTTGGCGCCGTTGGGTCCGTAGCCCAGCTCCCCGTGCTGCGCCAAGCCCCAGGAGATGGTGGAGGAATCAGCGGCAACGCACGAGGTGGTGGCGCCACACGCCATGCTGCGGATGTGCCACCCGCTCAGGTCCAGCAGCGGCTTGGGGTACATCCAGCAGTCTCCCGTCTGCTTCACCTTGCCCCATGCGTACATCTGCCCGCCGCCTTTTGTGGAGAGAAAGGGGGGTGAGGGGTGGGAGGATGGCGGGATGGGAGGCTGCTCCCTGTGCTGCTGTGCGCATTCTCTCACACTCTCTCCCTCACACTCGCTATCACTCTCACTCTCTCACTCTTACTCCCTCTTGTTCTAACTCTCTCACTCACACTCTCGCACACTCACTCTCACCAGCTGTGCAGGCAGAGAAGGCCCCGCCAGCAGCAACAACAGCGGAGGCGGATAGGGTGTTCCCTCCATCTCACTCTCACTCTCACCGGCAGTGCAGGCAGAGAAAGCACCGCCAGCAGCGACGACAGCAGTAGGGGGCAGGGTGTTCTGGCGCTGAAACACGTCCACCAGGCGCGGCCGCCACTCGTCCTTCTGCTCCTTGTGCCCCAACCGCCCAAACCCTCCGAAGCCCCACGTGAACACAAAGCCCTTGGCGTCCACTGCCACTGCCATGCCATGCCATGCCACACCAATCCATGCCATGCCACGTGATGCCATTGCCATTGCCAGAGAAACAAACGGAGAAACTGTGTGAGTGGAAAATAAAAACACAATGATCAGGACAAGACATATGTGAAGGAGCAATATTCTGAATGTGCAAACTATCAAGGCACATCCCAGCCTCTCACTTCTTCTTGAGGCGCCTCAAGGCGCCTCAAAATGAACTATCAAGGCACATCCCAGTCTCTCTCACTTCTTCTGCTCTGCTTATCCCCTGCTCCTTTTGCAGGCCATTGCTCTGCCCACACCCGTCCTGCCTCTGGTCATACATACCACTGTGGTTGATCCCGCACGCCACCTTTTGAGTCGACTCAAACGTCACCTTTTGAGTCGACTCAAACGTCACCTTTTGAGTCGACTCAAACGTCACCTTTTGAGTCGACTCAAACGTCACCTTTTGAGTCGACTCAAACGTCCTGCCTCTGGTCATACATACCACTGTGGTTGATCCCGCACGCCACCTTGCACATCTCCCGGCCAGCCAGAGCAGCAACGGCACGAGGTGTGGGTTGAGGGGCGTACACCAGCTTCACGGCCGAGTCCTTGGCGTTGTACTGCCATGCACATGCGAGCAATGGGGGGAAGCCAACGGGAGAGGGGGCCGGGGGGAAGCATGTTGCGTGGGCTGAGGGGCGTACACCAGCTTCAAGGTCGAGTCCTTGGCGTTGTACTGCCATCCACACACACATGGACATGTGTTGGGGGACAGCATGGGGAGGGGGATGGGAAGAGGGGGGGTGAGGTGGGGGGAGACGCTAAAGGCATGTACTTGGCGCACACCAGCTTCAGAGCCGAGTCGACTCAGAAAAAACAGATCCAGAGGACTCAATGTGGCCATGGCCAGTAAAAACGCACCTCGTTGTCAGTGCCGTGGCCCAGCTGTCCGTACTGCGGCAGGCCGGCTGTGAACAGGTTGGGCGGAGACGGCGGCTCTGAGGGTTGTGCTGCACCACCCGCTCCTCCTCCTGCTGCTGCTGCTGCTGCTGCTGCTTTGGTGGTGGTGGCATCGTTGGAAGGAGGGGTGGTAGTGGTGGTGGTGGAGGGGTCCGGGTGCGTGATCCAGCAGGAGAACTCGCCCCCGCATGCCACCGCCCGCACTCGCTTCACTGCACTCAGCACTGGTTTTTTCTCGTGCTCTGTGCGGACAGGATTGGGGAGAGGGTTGAGGAGGAAGAGGGAGGAGCGGCAGAAGGGAGGGAGGAGGGGAAAATAGAGGGAGGGGGGAAGGGAGGGAGGGAGGAGGAGCGGGGGTAGGGATTTAACTGACGGGAAGAGGAAAGGGATTGAGAGAAGAGAAGAACAAGGGACAGAAAGAGATCCTGAACGGTTTCTATTCTAGAACGTCCAAAAGACGTAATGAGGAGAGAAACAACGCACAGCTGCAGGTGAAGGAGGTGGGGGAAATGAAGAGATGAGGAGTGGGAGCAGAAGGAGAAGCAGGGGTAGAGAGAAAGGAGAGCGAGGAGAGGGAGGAGAGGAAGGAGAGGAAGGCAGGGAGACCTGTTTTGAGAGAGCCTGTGCCGAGCTGGCCGTGCTTGTTAGAGCCCCACGCCCAGGCACTGTGTGCAGTGCATACAGGTGATAGCACGTATGAGGGCGTTGGGGAGAAGAGGGGGGAGGAGTGGGGTGGGGGAAGTGGAGTGGAGGGGGAGCGAAGAAAATAGAGGGAGGAGAAGATGGAAAGTTAGGTCACTTGAAGCGAGAATATGGCTTCGAAGCAAGAAAACTGGTTGCCTGTTGCCATGGTTGGTCGGTCTGGTGCGTCTCTCGATCGATCCAAGAGCGGATTGTTACTGGAGGAGAGCGGAAGGCTCGTGGGTAGGTGTTCCAGGTGCGCAAAGCAGTAATAACTCCTTGATCGTCTCATTCAGACGACTCCCTTCGCCCTCCCTTCCCCCTCCCTTCCCCCAGGAAAGAAATGCCACCCCAGCATGCATGTGCACATGCATGTGTGCGTGCGTACCTGCCGTCATCTGCCACAGCAAGGGAATGGTTGCGCCCCGATGCCACGGCCACTATTCTCTTGCTGCTGGCAGGAACGGGGTAAGGAGCGGAGGAGAGGGGGCAGAGAGGCAGGGAGCCAGAGAGGCAGGGAAGCAAGGAGGCAGGGAGGCGAGGGATTTCAAGAAAGTGCCTGGGTTGCCAGAAGACTTGCAGAAATCGCAATTGAAAGAGACGCTTGGCACAGCAGACGGACATGGAGAGGCGTGGCAGTGGGGTTGCGAAGCATGCGTGCAGTGGGGTGGGAAGGTCTGGTGAAGTGAGAGAACTCAGGGTACGGGGAGAGAGGTGGTGGGAGAGAGGTGGTGGGAGAGAGGTGGTGGGTGAGAGGTGGTGGGTGAGAGGTGGTGGGTGAGAGGTGGTGGGTAGTTGCGGTGCTTAGATCTCATCTCACCCTGCGAGGGCTTCGATGATGGTGGGCTGATTGAGATCCGTTTGATGCCCATGCCCTAGCTGCCCGCACTGCATGCATGCATGCATGCACACATGCATACACATATGCATGCACACACACATGCACAAACACAAGGAGACCACGGGTAAGAGCATGTCATTATGGTCGTATCTATCAACAGTGGAACGCACTGGATGCACGAACACACACGTGTATATGTCATGAATGCATGGGTGCACGAAAGCACGAGTACATACGCACCCTCCTCCTCTCCCACTCCCTCCCTCTCTCCCCTCAAAAGCTACCATCCCACACTCTCCTCCCTTAACCCCCAAAAAGGCCGTCCCCACCACTCCCGTCTTTCCCCGTTTCCTCCCGTTTCCCCCCGTTTCCCCGCTTTCCCCGTTTCCTCCCGTTTCCCCCCGTTTCTCCGCTTTCCCCGTTTCCCCCCGTTTCCCCCCGTTCCCGCATCCCCCCCCACCTCGTTTCGCCCCCAGGAGTAGCAGCGCCCGTCCGCGTCCACCGCCAGGCAGTGCGCCGCCGCTGCGGGGAGTGGGGCGGGGGGTTGGGGGGAAAGGAGGAGGGGGGCAGGAAGAGGGGGGAAGCAGAAGGGGAAGGCGTGAGCTGGAAGCAAGCGGAGGGGGGAAACCAGCACTGGAAGTTTCAGAGACGAAGTGAGGGTGGCTGCATTTTCTCACACTTTCTCAGATTCACATTTCCTCGCATTCTTTCAGCTTCACGTTTTCTCGCGTTCACATTCGCTCGATATTTTTCACGTTCTAACCAGTTTCGGGTCCTCTCATTGCATTGCATTGCATTGCATGGCTGGCTGCAGAGTCTAAAGCGAATCAACGCAGTGACCGTTGCGCGAGACGAGAGGAAAGACCGAGAGGATCTCCCGCAGCTTCATGGCTGCCCAAAGGAGGATCTCCCGCTGCTGCTGCTGCTGCTGCTACACGTCAAACGCACTACAGCTCCTGTTGCGAGCGTTCCTTTCAAAATACTACAAAAAACGCCGCCAACAGCATTACGGGTCCCTCCCCGAACGCCAAAGCATACCGCAGCCAGTAGCGACGGAAACGATCCGAACGTCTTTCAGCGGTGCGAGTCGGTGCGGCTCGGTGAGGAGCGGGAATCGGATGTCCTCAGCGGCTTTGCCCTTGTTCTTGGTCTTGTTCTCTGATCGACCGATCGTCTGCCAATCCGTTGAGCCGCAGAATAGCACCTCTCCTGTCATTGGCTCTGGATCCGTCGCGTCGCCAGCATTCTCTTTGTTGGCCGCCATTTGCGGAATGGAAAGTTGTTTTTTTGCGCGGAATGTGGAGTTGATGGAGGATAGTCTTGGCGGCACGCAGGATTCAGGGGAGGAGATGGCGAGATGGAAACCCATTATTTCGGTTTAAGTAACTCGATTACAGCTACGGTGACTAGATTTGTGGAGGTGCGCACTTTGCTGAAAACTATTCTAGAGTTTTGAGCAGAACGGATTCGACCATTACAACAAACAAACGCCCATAAGCTGTTATGAGTTGTAAAGGAGAGTGCGCAGGTAAACGAATAACGAGGCTGTGACTGAATGAACTGCGAATACAATGAATGCACAGACTAATGTAGGGCTAGCCTGCCTAGGAGGGAACCTCGGGAAATGAGGTTGGGTGCAAGTTTGGCGATGGACATGCCGAAGGCGACGCGAGGAGCCTCGGCAGCGTTGAAATCGGCCGAACGTGCGAACTCCGAAAATCGGGTTGTACGCAAAGCAATCAACCCCGATAAGGATTTCAGGAAAATTCCTAACACTACCCCCCCCTTTAAGAAAGGCGGTCAATGTCTGCAACACGCCTGCGCGCCAAGTAATCACCAACAAGTGGCGAGGCGTCGAGCGAGGCGGAAGGCACCCACGTGTCGTACTCGGTGGTGCGATCAGTCCAGCGGATCAAGAAATCCACGTGTCGGCCAGCTGCGTCAAGGCGAACCCGATGAGCCAGGATTTTCGAAGGGTCAAGTGTCGGCTCCGGAACAGGTCGTGCTGTTGGGACAGCTTGTTGACGTGCAATGTTTGTCGTCGCTGGCACGAACTTGCGAAGAAGGCTGACGTGGAAGGCGTCATGAATTCGCCAGTCGTCGGGTAGCAACAGCTTCGCGGTGACAGGTGTCACCATCTTGATAATCTTGAACGGTCCGCAAAATCGTGGCTGTAGTTTCGACGGGCCGGTCAGGTGCAGGTTCTTCGTGTCAAGTAGCACTAATTGCTCAGTGGTCAAGACGAGTTCCCGTCGTAGAAGATCTGTGTATTTGCGGGAGGTGATAGTCGCCTTGCGAATTGCGTCGGCGGCCTTTTCTCGGGTTTCCTGGAGTTCCGTCACAAAAGTTTGTGACCGTGGGACCGGATTGTCGAGAGCAGTCGCGGTGGGAACCGTCGGGTCCATCCCGTAATTCAGGAAAAACGGGGAGTGATTAGTCGTGCTGGATGGTGCGTTGTTGAAAGCAAACTCCAACATCGCGAGAGAGTCTTCCCAGCGGGCCGGGTCGGGGCAGTTTGTTCTGATCAGCTGCTCCATGGTCTGATTCGTCCGCTCTGTTTGACCGTCCGTCTGTGGGTGGTATGCCGTTGAGAATTGTAGCTTCGTGCCGTACTGCGCCCACGTCTCTTTCCAGAACTTGGATGTGAATCGCGGGTCTCGGTCGCTGATTATCGCCGAGGGGATGCCGTGCAGTCGCACAACCGTGGAAATGAAGAGTCGCGCAGTTTCTTCGGCTGTTATTGTCGTTCGGCATGGTGCGAAGTGCGCCATTTTCGTGAAGCGATCGACGACGACGAGAACAGCGTCGTTGCCGGACGGCCCAGCTGGCATCCCCGTAACGAAATCCATCGTCACTTGCTGCCACGGTCGTTCGGGTGGCTCGAGGGGTTGCACCAGCCCAGCTGGTCGTTGATGTGTCGATTTCATAGCTTGGCACACCCTGCACGAGGACACATATCGCTGCACGTCGTTAGAGGAGTCAGGCCAATAATATTGACGGTGCAGTAATTTCTGGGTTTTATCAACCCCGAAGTGTCCGGAGAAATTCGAATCGTGGACCTCTTGGATGAGAAGTTCACGTAGCAGCCGGTAAGCGGGAACCCAAATCCGATCGGTACCGGCTTTTACGTAGTAATCCCCTTTCTGCGTCGTGGCCTGCTGATGATTCCCGGTCGTGAAGAATGGGTCCGTAGTGTAGCCGTGGGTGAATAGTCCTGTGAGTAGCGGGTTCGAATGGGTGATGAGTACTGCAGCGGATTGTACTGCTGGTCGGGTCAGGGCGTCGGCGATGTTATTCGCCCCTTTCTTGTATGTTATGCGGTAGGTGAAGTGGCTCTCCATATAATCCAGCCACCTTATCTGTCGTGGGTTGAGGTTGGGCTGGGCTCGCAGGTACTGTGAAAGTTTGAAGAAAGAAGAGGATTGCACTAGCAAGAATGGGGATACAAATAGCAAACCCTAGAAGGGTTGTACTCGCTATAGAGCACCCCACTACAGGCTAGAGCATAAGATAACATTCTGACACACCCCCATAGCCAAAGTGGGGTGTAATCAGCAAAGCAAGCAAAGCATAACAAGCTTAGGGTGGATCACAATGTCACCACACATTCTGAGCACAAGTTCAAGAAGCATTAGTTTCAAGTCCACAGTTATAAGCAAAGCTAGAGGTAGTCACAACGGGCAAGTGAGGAGGAGGAGAGAGACTGAGAGGAGAGGAGATAGGAGGCGACGGATGAAGCTGCAGACACACGGGCAACAGGAGGCAGACTGGCACACCGGCTACCGGACGAAGCCCCCGGACTAGAGGAGTAACTGGTCCCGCGGCTAAAGTAGCGGCAGACGAGCAACGGACCCACGGGCGGCTGGCACAGCTGGCTACGACTGGGCTACCGGACGAAGTCCCCGGAGTACAGGTGCTGCTAGCGACACATCGGCATCCTCCATTCAGCTTCCCCAAACTATCCCACTCCCCCTGGCACACACCCGCTGCTACACCGCTAGCTCCACTCCCCCTTCACCCCCCTTAAACCCTAAACCCCAGTCTCCCACTCATCCACCCCCCTCAGCGACAGCTGCAGCAGTGGGAGACGAAGGAGGAGGAGGAGCAAAGGGAGGAAGGCACAACTGCCACCCCCATACCCGCCACCCCCTACTCGCCACCCCCTAGGTCGCCTTGCAGCCCCCTCAGGTCGCCTCGACAGGCGACGAGAAAAAGGGGGGGGGGGGGGGGGGGGGAGGGGGGGTGCACGTGCCGTAGGTAGGGCGACGGGGTCGGGCCTGTAGGGCGGCGGGACGACGGGGCCGCAGGTAGGGCGGCGGGGCCGGGGCCAGGGCCGCAGGTAGGGTCGCCCGAGCCGCGCGCGGGCCTGGCGACGCCCGTACAGGTCGCGCGCGGGCCTGGCGCAGCCCGTACGGGCCGCGGACAGGTCGGGCGCGGCCCGTACGTGCCGCGCACAGGCCACGACGGGCGACGGGGCAGAACCCCGCCGCGCGCCTCAGGGCGCACAGCGGGCAGAGAACCGCCGCGCGCCTCGGGGCGCACGGCGGGCAGAAAACCGCCGCGCGCCTCGGGGCGCACGGCGGGAAGAAAAATGCCGCACGCCACGGGGCGTGCGGCTTAGAGGGTAGTTGCAGTAGTAGCAGCGGAAGCGAGAAGGTGGTAAGCCCACCCACAGGATCGATCCAAGGGGATCGACCTGCTCTGATAGCATGTGAAAGTTTGAAGAAAGAAGAGGATTGCACTAGCAAGAATGGGGATACAAATAGCAAACCCTAGAAGGGTTGTACTCGCTATAGAGCACCCCACTACAGGCTAGAGCATAAGATATCATTCTGACAGGTACTGCAGGGACTTATGGTCCGTGCGAACAGTGACGTCGGCGCCCACCAAGTAGCATCGCCATAATTTAAACGCGTGTATGATGGCGAGCATCTCCTTGTCGTGAATCGGGTAGTTGCGTTCGGCTGCCTGTAGCTTGCGTGACTCGTAAGCGATCGGCTGTAATCCGTTTCCGAAATCTTGGAGAAGCACAGCTCCGATGGCGAAATCTGAGGCGTCGGTTACGACATCGAACGGCTTCGATGGATCGGCGATGCGCAGGACAAGAGGGGAAACGAGAAAATTCTTGAGTTCCTGGAAAGCCGCTTCTGCCTCCTCCCCCCACACAAAGTTTTTGTCCTTGTGCAGCAGGTCGGTCAGCGGGCCGGTTATCCCCGCCATATTCGGGATAAAACGCCGGACGTAATTCACAAATCCGAGGAAACTCTGGAGTTCCGTGACGTTTGTCGGGGACTTCCACTCCTGTATGGTCTTGATTTTCGCCGGGTCGATTTTAATGCCGTCGAGCAAAATGACGTGCCCCAAAAACTCCAACTCCTGCTTAAAGAACTCGCACTTAGAGCCCTTGGTGATGAGTCGGTTTTCCTGCAGCCTTTTAAACACTGCATCCAGGTCGCGAAGGTGCTGCTCCCGTGTCTTGCTAAAAATGAGGATATCGTCCAAGTAGACGATGACACACTGGTCTAGGAGATCTCGAAAAACCCTGTTCATGGTTAGTTGAAAAGTCGAAGGCGCGTTCGTGAGGCCGAAAGGCATCACTGTGAATTCGTAACTCCCGTAGCGTGTGCGAAATGCAGTCTTGTGGCAGTCGTCGGCGAAGACTCGGATCTGGTGGTAACCGCCCCGTAAGTTAATCTTCGAGAAATAGCGAGCGCCGCGAAGTTGGTCGAGGAGGTCGTCGGTACGTGGGATTGGGTAGCGAGATTTGATGGTGACCCGGTTCAGAGCGCGATAGTCGATACACATGCAAAGCCCGCCGTCCTTCGGAGTGAACAGAATCGGTGATGCGAAGGGAGATGTGCTGGCCCGAATAAATCCCTTCTCCAACAGTGCATCAATTTGACTTCGCAGCTCCTCGAGTTCCGGCTGGGTCAACTGCCATTGTGTCTGAACAGTCGGCTTCGCTTCAGGTTCCAGCTGGATTTTGTGGTCCTCAGGTCTCTCGGGTGGATGTCCAGGTGGTAGGTCGTCGGGGAAGATGTCAGGGTACCTCCGAATCAGCTCCGCTAAATCCGGTGGTACTGCTGCACACAACTTCTCGATGTCCTTTCCCTCGATGTCGAGTGCCAACTCGCGTAAGCAAACAGCGAACAGCTGCGCGCCCCTGTTGAAGTGGCGAGCTATAGTGATAGCTTTGACGTACGGCGCTTGGATGTAGTCAGGGGTCCATGCAGGTAATTTTATTAACCCCTCGTACTTGCTGATGCTACACGATCCCGTCGTCCAGTCGATAACGGGGTTGTGTCGTCGCAGCCAATCACGTCCCAGCAGTACGTCGCAGCCGTCCAATAATGTCGCGAGAAACTTCAT